CACAGGAAGCGTTTGTGTGCTGCCTTTGCATGCGCAAAGCCTGCAAAGCTGGTGTCCTGCTAGCAACCAGACTGCACCGTGTGCTTCGTGTGGCTGCGATGAGGAAAGGCAGGAAATCTCCACGGTAATTATTTGGGCAGCGCTGACCTGCGCTTGGGCAGCTCAGGCGGCTCGCGGGAATGCTGGCCAGCAGTGGCTCGTGAGGAGAGCCTGTCTCAGGCTGTCTGTAGCCACTGCCCTGCTCCCGGGCAGCCAGCAGCCTGCCAGAGCCAGCAGCCAGCCCAGCTGCACGGTTCAGAGGTGAAGCTCACATTGAGGAATTAATTCCCTGGCCCAAACTCTGCATGAGAGGAGAGATGATAGCAACGCATGCCCACGCACAGCTCTGGGAGGAGGGACCCTCTGTGCTTCACCAGGGCACAAACTGCACAGGGGGGTCCTGCTGCCTCCCCTGAGGGCGTGGGGCATCCTGCAGCCCTTTGGAAACAGCCCCCCACTTCCATCTTCCCCTTCCCTGGCATTTCTTCTGCCTCTGGGCAGAACCACACTCAGCCCCAGGCTACCCCAGAGCTCTGGGGATTGCCGCAGTGTCCGGTGCTCACACAGCTCACACACCCCGTTAGCCAGCGGGGCGTTTCCCCCTAAAGGCAATTCCACTAATACTCCAAAACCCCACTCTCCTGCGGGCACAGAGAGGAGAACAGGCATGGGGAGGGTTGGCACAGCATCCCCAGCCCCCGGGCAGCCCCAGCCGCAGTGTGCTGGGCACAGGCACCGCAGCCCGCATCCCTCCGGCCAGGGCACACCTCAGCCCAGCCGGGTCCCAGCCCCGTGCCCTCGGCCGCCCTCGCAGACAAATCCCCGGAGGAAGCGGTCATTAAAACAACAGGGCTACTTATCTGTCTGGAGCCGATTGCCGCAAAGCACTTCCCACGCATCATCATCGCCCACTTACCCTCGCAGCACCTCTGCGGGCAGGGCCAGCCCGCTGTGACCCCTCACTGCACACCCCGGCCCACGGGGACAAAGGGCTGAGTCCTGCCCAGCCCCTGCTGCCAGCCCAGTCCCCCAGTCGGGCTCTGGGGGTAACTGCAGCATGGGTTTCAGCTGATTTCGGGGTACATCTGTGTGGAAGTAGGATTCCTTCCAGCAAAACCTGTCCTGGAACCCCGTGCCTCTTCTCCCCAGTCACCCCCAACGCCAAGGCTGGCCCTGTGTGGATGCTGAGGGGGGGGGAGGACCCCACCTGGCCTGTGGCTGCAGCCCCCCGTGCCTCAGTTTCCCCCGTGGCAGAGGGGAGCAGGCTGTTGGATAAACGCCCTGAGGGTGGCCAGGGGCTTGTGCCTCAGTAGAACCCCTGCACAAACAGTGCCAGCAGCTCAGTGTACCCAAAATCCACATCCTGCTCGAGCCCCTTGGGTCGTGCGCTGCAGGAACAGCGTTTCCATGAGGGATCCCTGGCACTCGTGACTGTGAACAGACAGGACACGGAAACGGGGAACAGCTTCAGCCTTCCAGCCCAAACCATCCTGCGGTTCAGTTCTCTGCCGAGGGCTCCGCGTGCCCCTGGCCGGGCAGCCGGCAAGGAAAGGAAAAGCCTTCCCAAGGAAAAGCTCTGTCCCGGCAAGAAGCTGGGATTTGGTTCCCTCTAGTGTCTCCTGTAGTGTCGCTGCTCTCCGCGGCTGAGCGGGGACAGGGGGAGCGGGGACAGGGCCAGGGGCTTCACCGAGGAGAGCAGGGACCCTGGCCTCGCCAGCTCCAGCGGCTTTGCACAGTTTCAGCAAGCTCCAGGGGCTAGACAGGCTGCCCAGGACAGCCGTGGAGGGATTTAAAGCAGGGATTTAAAGGACAGATGTGTGCAGATGTGACCTCTGGGGGACAGGGTTTAGTGCTGGCCTTGGCAGCGTTGGTTAATGGACTTGGATGGTCTTAGAGGGGTTTTCCAACCTCTGTGACTCCAAGGCACGGTCCTGAGGCACAGGGCTGGGCGGGGACCCTCCTTTGCTTCCAGCCACGTCCCACTGTGAATCCCACTGGGAAGAGCCAGCCTGTCCATTCTGGGCTGCACTCCCACAGCGTGGCTGCCTGGGGCAGCTACTCCCAACCACCCCCTTAGGGGCAGGTGTGACATGAAATGAGGGCTGGAATGCCTTTCCTGGGGCTGCAGGGCAATTCCAGCCCTCGGAGCACTGCTGGTTTTGCCGAGGTGCTGCTGCTGGATGCGCTGCCTTTCCGGGAGCAGAGCAGAGCAGAGGGAGGCCGAGGCACGTGGCTGGCTCCCCGCCAGCCCAGCCCATCTCTCCTCTCTCCAGTGCTCCTCTCTGGCTCCCTGAGTCACCATTTGCTGCTCTCCTCTTTAAACTAACGAGGAGACATTTTGCATTCGCGTTTCCTCATGGGCGAAATGCGTCCCTGGCACCACGGGGCAGGGCTGGCAGCTCCTCCCTGGCTGCTGCTGCTGCTGCTGCCTCATCCCCTCGCTTGCAGTTGGGATGAGCACAGGCACGGACCAAGCCAGAGCCCCTCTCCCTCCTACCTGTCCATGCAGAGCCCAGCAAAGCAAACAGGGAATAAATAACCAGCGCCAAGGGGAAGCTGTTTGGCTCTGGAAGCCTTCCCGGAGGAAAAGGGCACTCCAGTTGTCCGCTGTATTATTTACCCAATCCCCTTTGTGCCGCAGAAAAAGATTTACTCTGAGAAGATTAATGGCTCAAGGGGCTGTGAGAGAAATCCCCCGGGATTGCCTGGTTCAGGGGAGAAGGCAAACACCTCCCTGCAAGGCCAGGGAGCACAGGGAGCAGGGGGAGCACAGGGAGAGGGCTGAGGGGCTGGCTTTGTCCCCTCTGATGGGGACAGTGACGCGCCCTGGGAGAGCAGGACTCTCTCATCGGGCCAGTGGCAGGAAGAAGGAGACACAGTGCCCTTTTCCTGGGGTAAGGCCAAAGCCCCAGGGCTCAACATCCACAACAAATGACTCTGGAGGCCTGGAGAGCTGCTGGCAGCCCCTCTACCCCGGCTCAGAGAGGGCACACCTCCTGTGCATCCTTCACTGCTTTGTGCCCGTCCTCTGCTGCTGGCTGGGCTGCTCACAGCCGAGCCCTGAGGAGACCCTGACTGCCAGATGTGCAAGGTTTGGGTGCTGGGCGTGCCCTGCCCTGCCCCTGTCCCCTGTTGGTGTCCCCAGCTGGGCTGTGGGGCCGTGCAGGTGCGGGTGTCCCCAAGCCGTGCAGAATAATGCCATTAATGCCATCTGGTGCCGAGACAGAGCCAGACAGGGCTTTTCACTCCCCTAATCCCCGGCCCCGGAGCCACGGGGGTCCTGTCTGGGGAGGGGAGGGCACGGCTGCGGCCCTGGCAGGCTCGGGAGCCGGCAAGGAGGGGAATCCTGGGGCTCGGGGCTGAGCACGGGCTCGCTTCACGCCCTGCTGCCTTCCTGCCTGCTGGCACCTTCAGCTTTTGGGGGACACAGCCCCACCACACACGGGAAGGGCAGGTCTGTGTGGCCAAAGCCTTCCGTGCTCCTAAACAGGCACTTTGCATAGAATCTCAGGATCATTTAGTTTGACAAACACCTCTAAGACGGATGGAGCTTAACCATTAACCATTTTGTCCCTCGGTGGAAGGGCTCCTGCTCCTGCTTGAGCTGTGCAAAGCTGCAACGAGTCTTTATTAGTGGGTCACTGTCAAGTCAAAATTATATTCCAAAATAATCTCCTTAGTGTGTTAAATAAGCACCTCAGATTAGACAAATTGCACGGATTTTGCCTAATAACCTTGCCCCAGCTAATCCTATTTTTCTGTCCATGTCTGACCTCCATCGGAGCCCACACGAACCCAGGGGTTGGTTTCTCCACCCCGGTGGTGCTGGGATGGTCGGGGTCACTGAAGGCAGCCCCTTGCACACCTGAACACCCCCAGTGGCTTCAGGCGAGGGGAGGAAACCCCCTGAGCTGGGGTTTCTCATCCAACCCATTCCCTGCTCAAGCACCCCCCAGAGTGATGAGGCTGGGAGTGAGTTCTGCACTGCATCCCCCCCGAACCCCTCCTGCTGTGCTTGTTTGGGTGCCCGAGGTCCCCTCTGGCCACAGGGGTGGGGGACAGGCAGCCCTGTGCCCTCGTCACTAGGTGTCACACGGGCCAGCTCTCCGCACAGAGAGCCAACCTCCCTCCTCCTCACTCTTCACCCAATTGCGGCAGAGTTTTCCTCTCTTTTGTCCTTTTTTTTTTTCGAGAGCTCCCACCGAGCTCCGTGCTTCACCCGAGCCCCGTTCCGCACAGAGAGGATCTCCCGGCAGGGCAGGGAGGGATTAAAAAGAGGAAAAATCCCCCAAACGCGTGGGTCAAGATAAAGGCAGTTTATAAAGTGAAAGCAGAGGGAGCGTGAGTGCAAGAAAAAGGAAAAAGGAAATGCAGGAGGTGAAATTCTCCCCTTGCCATCTGCAGGTGATGCCCAACCCCTTCTTGGGAAATCAGGATTGTTCTGTAAGGCAAATGTACCTCACAAACACCCCCCTTTCTCCTCCTTTCCCTTTTCTTCTCTACCTGAGCAGGTGTCACCTGCTCTGGGATGTCCCTTTGGTCGCTTTGGGGTTGTCCTGGCTCTGTCCCCTGCCAGGATCCTGCCCACCCCAGGGACAGCGCTGCTGTGGGAGCAGCAGGAACCCAAACTGGAGTGCTCCCAACACCTTCCCAGCTCCCAGCACAGCCCAGCAATGCCAGGGATGCCAGGGGGAGAATTAACCCCATCCCAGCCAGGCACGAGGGCACAAAGAGCCCCACAGAGCTGCCAGCTGCTGCCTGGGCACCGCAAGGGAAAGGCAGGTGCTGCAGGATCCAGGACCCGCAGCTGGGAGAAGAAACATCCGGAGCAAAGCCAGGGCCTGCCCCGTGCCTCGGGCTGCGGGAGCTTTGCTGGGTGTGCGAGGAAGGCGCCTGCAGGGCAGAAAAGTGGTTGGGTCTGGGCCAGGAGAGTGGGCGATTCAAACGCCTCGGGCACGCAGTTTAACCTCTGGGAGCTTGAACTTTATTAGCCAAGAAACTCTCGCTGGGTCTAAGAGAGGGGGAAGCACGAGGGCAATTTGCCTTCTGGCCGTGCGGGGTAATGGGTCCGGTGGAGCGGGGTGAGGGGTGGCCGCTGGCCAGGAGCGCTGGGCTTCGGCTGGAGCTCTGCTTCCGTGCTGGCATCGCAGCCCTGGGACTGCAGAGAGGCAGGGTGGCATGGCCAGCGTGCCCCTCTCCTCCCGGGACAGACGCCCAGGGGTGCTCCCCTGAAGCAGGAGCACCCCAAAGCATCGCTGGCAGCGCAGGGAGCCTTCAGCCTCCTACCTGCACCTACAGCTCCTCCTCGCTGCCTTGCCTGTGGAGCAAAAAGCAAAGGGAGAAGGGTTACACTGGGCAGTGTGGCTGAGAGAGGGGAACACGGGCTGAGCCCTGGCCCTGCCAGCTGGCAGGGCTGCAACAGGCAGCAGAGATGAAACCGTGCCATACCCACCTCCTCTTCTTCCTCCCTCCGCAGTGGAAGCGCTGGCCTGGGGGCGAGAGGAGCGACTGAGGCCGAGCTGCCCCCACCCCGTCACACCCACCCTGCAGCCCTGGCACTGCCCGCAGGCTCCTGCCCAGGCTGCCCCATGACTGCCAGTGCTGCTGCTTTCCATGGCTTTCTCCCTAAAATTGGTGGGCAGCATCCCTGCAGCAGCTGTGAGCGTGGGCACCCTGCACACAGCGGTGCCAGAACATCCAGGCAGGGCCACAGGGTGCCCTGCACACTTAGCACCGGGTCAGCCTGGGAGCTGCTGAGCTTTGAGGGCTCTGGGAGCGCTCTCTGGAAATGTCAGAGTTTTCTCGGCTATTTTTAATGAGTGACCTTCCCTCTGAAGCCCGGGCGCTGGCAGGGAAACACAAAATATTTACGTGGTCTCCCTCCCAACTCGCCCTGTGCTGGGAGCGTGCCTGGATGGAAAGTTCCCAGGCAGTCCCGGGGGCAGGCTGTGCCCACCCCGGTGCTGTGGGGGCAGAGTTGGTGACCCCCAGCCCCCTCCCGGCCAGAGGAGGGGCTGAGTGGAGCACGGAGCAGAGCCAAGAGGTGCCCGGCCCACCCAGGCACTTACTGAGGATGATGAGGAGCCCGATGACAAAAGCCACCACGGCGAAGATCAGCCCCCCGTTGCGGATGGTGTCATAGTCTGGGGAGGAGGAGGAGGAGAGCCGGGAGGTGTCAGGGCAGCCCCCGGGGGCACAGAGCCAGCAGGGTGGCAGGGGGCTGCCCGTGCCCCTGCCCTGCCTGCCCGGGCACACACTCACCATAGCTGAACCTGTCCTGGCCCTGCTCGGGCACTTGCTCTGAAAAGAGGAGAAACTCCAGTGAGAGCCACGTCCTCGGGGTGTGCAGGGAGAGAGACCAGGACCGAGGACTGCAAGTGACAGTGCTGTGACCTCCTTGGCACGTGGCTGAGCCTGGAAACTCCTGGGTCTCACCCCGGGAGCTCTAAGGTCCTGGGCAAACTCACGGGATGCACTTGCAGGCTGCACTGCAGGATGCTGGGGAGCCTTGGGGCTGCAGGTGCAGCTGCAGGCAGCGACGCAGCCCCACTGCCCTGCAGGGCTCCAGCAGCGGCTCTGTCCCCTCCGAGCACAGACTGAGCGACCCCTGAGGCTCACACCTCGCACCAATGCACCCCAACCGCCCCCCTGCATGTCACCGAGCTCGTCACCGTGTCACCGCTCCAGCCGCCTTACCTGAGTGCTCAGCCCTCTGCCGGGAGCAGCTTGAAGGAGAAATCGCCCTCAGGAGAAGCCAAACACCAGCTGTGCCAGGGGGCTGTGGAGCTCGGAGGGTCCAGCCCCACGTCTGCCCACCCCAAATCCTCATGGAGAGCTTCCCCCTCGCAGGGAGCTGTCCCCACGGAGGTGGCTGTCCTTACCGTCACCCATGGCCTCGGCGTGTCCGGCTGCGGCGGGCGCCTCGCTCTGCGAGTGGGCACCCACGGGAGCGCGCATTAATTGGGAGACAAACCTCATTAAACATTAATGGCCTCGGTGTAATGTTTATCGCAGTCACGAGGGGAGGCACAGGGCTCCCGCCCGCCTTTGGGAAAGACGGAGGGGAGGGAAGGGCAGGGGCAGCACCCACCGTGCCAGCCGCCAGGGAGGGCTGGGCACCCCGAGCTGCGCGTCCTTGTCCCGGCCCTCCCTCTGTTCCCATTGTCAGCCCCGCTGGCCTTCACCTCCCGCCGCGGTGACGAGCCAGGGACGGGCTCAGATACAGGCTGTGACTGCCTTTAGCTGGAGAGCAGCGGGCAGCACGGCCCGTCCTCACAGCCTGGCACCCAGGGTGTGCCCCCTTGGCCGGGTCAGCCCCTCCGTGCCAGCTCTGTGCCATCCCAGGGCCAGCAGGACCGCGATGTCCGTGTGCATCCCTGCCGGCGGTGGGCACCGGGATGCCGTGCCCTCCCCGGGCGGTGCCAGCCGGGCGTGGCCAGCTGCCAGGAGGGCTGTGCAATCCAGTTTGCTCTAATCTCGCCATCAGCGAGCCGGAGTCACGCGCAGAAGCCGATTAAGCGGGGCGGCCGGGGGGGAGCCGGCCCCGAGGGATGCTCCCCTTGGCAGGGCCGGGGAGCACCAACACCCAGAGCCCCCGGCAGCCCGGCCCCGGTGCCACGGGGTGCAGCCAAGCCCCAGGAGGGTGCTGGCGTGCCCTGTCCTTCTTCTTTCTTCTCCTTGGCATCCATGTTCAGGATGATGTTGGCACGTGTGGATTGGTTCATGGTGAAAGTGCACTTGCCAACAAGGGCGAAAAGTATTGGAAATTAAAGGTAAATATCTAATACGTAGTTTTTACTATAAAAGAGACAACTGCCCCATGGGCAGGGCAGAGTGCCCTTGGCTGTCTTGCTGATCAGACCTCGGCTGGACAGACAGAAAAACTTTGTAGACAAGGAACAATAAACTCAACTGAAGACCAAAAGCAAGAGTCCAGACTCCTTCTTTGAGAGCACGGCCTGCCCAGAACCGCCTTTTCCTGTGCTGGGGCAGAGACAAATCACAGCCGCCCCCGGCACTGGCCCAGGTGGGGCCGTCACAGCGGCTCTGCTGTCACCGCTGTCACCGTGCCCTGGCAGCGCTCAGCATCCGCCGGCGCGGCGCGCCAGCAGCCCGACCCCGCGGCTCCCAGAAAGCCCCGAAGTGTCCGTGGCTGCTCCCCCGCGCTCCCTTCCCACGGCTCTGGCTCTTGCTGGGCTGCAGAGGCGGGCTGGGGGGCACAAAGCCCGGCTGTGCTGCCCCTGCTCCCCTGGCCCGGCCACAATGGCACGGCGTGGGAAGCTGCCAGGCTGCCCTGGGAACGCCGCGGCCCTCGAGACAAGGCAGGCAGGCACCGATAGAAACGAGATTTTATTCCTTTCCCCTTAGGTCACAGCACAGAGCACACCAGCCCTCCAGCACAGCAGCACACTCGCCTATTTAAAAGGAGACACAATAGCTCAGTTTATTTTACAACAGTCAGGGTTTGGCCATTTCACACACCACAGGGAGCTCTTTGTTTCGTGGTAACACCGACGGCACACTAGGGACAGCACCGGGACACACACCGTGACACTCGGGGGCCGCCTGGGGTCTGCTCTGCCCGGGAGCTCTCTGCAACAGCCAGGACGGAGGGAAGGGACACAACACAAGAGACACACGCTCCCTCTGCCTGGCACAGAGCTGCCCGGTGCCACCAGGTGATGCCAAGCATGCAGGGACACCAAGCGCGCTGGGGCAGGGCCACCACAGTGGGATGGACACAGCAGAAACTCCTCTCAAAACCGTCCTGGGGGACAAGACCCCCTGCCTGGCGTGGGGATGGCACCCTGAGGGGTTTCTGTGAAGCCTTGGGGACCCCCCACCCAAGCTGGCAGCCCCCAGCCCCAGCTGAGGTTTTACCTGCCCATGGACTTAAGGAAGAGCCAAAAATCACAGGTTTGCCTCTGACCCATGAGGGGACACAGGGTGACAGTGACCTCTGGGCTCTGCACGTTGTCACAGTGCAAGCTCAGGTGTGCAAAAGCCCCGAGAATCACTCAGTGCCACTCACTGCTGCTCCACGGGGAGAGGGGACAGCTGGCACCGGGGGTGACAAGGGACAACACACAGCACTGACAGGGTGGCACAGGGGGTGACAAGGCGCCAGCAGGGGCAGGAGCACCAGGAGGAGATGCCAGTGCCCCTTCCGTGCCAGAACAAGCACAGACAGGATCTCTGTTTCTCTTTAGCCCTCAGACTGTGTCACCCACCCAGCTCTGGCTGGCGGGCAGGAGCTGGTTTGTGCTGGTTACTGAGGTCACTGCTGTGCTGCTGCCCTCACCCACAGTGCCACCGTGCTGGGCACCTCGCGGGCTTCTCTGCCACCAGGGCCTTGCCTCACACTTAAAGCAGCGTGCCACGGGTCTGACCAGGGACAGAAACGGGGAGTGCCAAGCAGGATGGGCAGGAGAGCTCCCTTCAGCCTTGAGTCCAGCGCCCCAGAGCCCCCAGCCAGGAGGGCTGAGCCGTGGGGTGTCCCTGCCTGGCTCACCCCCCACCATGGCTGTTGTGAGGCTGGGGGCATGCAGGGGCTTATTGCTGCAATGGGGACGGGTGGCCCTGAAGTGGCTGAAATGGCACTGCAGGTCCCCAAGCCCTGCCCAGAGCCAGGGGGGCCGTGCTGCTGGCACTGGGCAGGGAACGGGGGTCCCTGCTCCCGGTGCCCAGGCGTGGAGGGCACCCCGAAGGGCAGCAGCCTGCCGGTCCTGCAGAGCCCGAGTCACACGCACAGCACGAGAAGGGCGAGGAGAAAGTCACGGCTACAACATCAGCAACAACTAGCCCTAGAGGTGATGATCATGTCACAGCGACGTCACACACGGCGGGAGGCAGGGAGCGCGGTCAGCGGGGTTTGGTGGGGCTGGGAGACAGAGACCCGGCGCTGGGGCACGGAGGGGGCACGGGCACGGCAGCTCCGCGTCTCCTGGGAGGCTCCTGCTGCTGGGGTTTCAGTTTCCTCGCAGGCCACGGGCGTCCGCGCTCCCTCCTCGGGTCTCTGGCTCTGCGTGGGGAGCAGAGCAGTGGGTCACAGATGTATTTTATGAAAAATCCTTTTGTCAGGGTCTTTTCTCCCGAGAAGCTGGGAAGCCTCAGCTTCTCCATGTTTTGCTGCTTTAGGATGTGATTTGGAGAATTGTTCACCCAGCATGTGAAATTGTTTTTGCTTGGTGACCAATGACAGCCACCTGTGTCGAGGCTGTGAGCAATCACAAGATTTTATTATCATTCCTTTCTGTTCCTTCCCAGCCTTCTGATGGATCCTTTCTCTCTATTCTTTTTAGTATAGTTTTAGTATAGTATTGTAATGTAATATAATACCATAATATAATAAATAATATAATATATTATTAATTTATTATAATTATTATATTATATATTATTATAATTATTATATGTTATTATAGTTATTATATATTATTATAATCAATGTTATATATTTAATATTAAATAATATATAATATAATAAGTCAACCTTCTGAAACATGGAGTCAAGTCTCATCCTGAGACCCTTGAACACAACCACAGCAGTGGGTCAGGCTTTCCCCACACTGGTTGTACCCCAGCAGAAACTGCCAGCACGGGCTCCAGCCTTCCCCCTCTCCACAGCAGAGCCCAGGGGGTTGGGGAGCCCAGAGTGAGACACCCCGAGGAGTTCCCACCCAGCTTTCTGAACAGCCTAAACCCAAAACCACTCGGGGGCGGAGGAGCAGCAGCAAAGGAAGTGCAACACAAGAGAAAGTCCGGACAGATGCTTCCTTTTCCTGCCTGTGGACACTCGGGACATTGCCAGCACTGAGTTTCCTTGCTGTGGACCCCAGCAGTGCTCGCCCCCACCCCATCCCAGGCATGCAGAGCTGCCCGGTCCCACTGGTGTGCTCAGAGCCCCACAGGCAGCCCCAGCCGTCCCTCCCACGCTGATGTCCCCACCCAGCCTGGCCTGCACTCACAGCGTTGGCTCCTGCTCAGTTCTCTGCCTTCTGTGCCGCCGTTGCTGCAAAGGGAAGAGCAGAGGGATTTGTGGCGCCTGCCCAGCAGGCTGTGACACGGCGAGGTGGCACAGTGACACAGGGCAGGGACCTTACCGTTCGAGGTGATCAGGTTCTCTGCCTGAGCCTCCTCGTCCCCTGGAGCCCTGCAAGGAGAGGAGCACGGTGAGGGCAGCGGAATCTGTGCCCATCAGGGGTGGGATCTGTGCCAAATCAGGGGTAAGATCTGTGCCCATCAGGGACTGGGATCTGTGCCCATCAGGGGCTGGGATCTGTGCCCCATCAGGGGTGGGATCTGTGTCCATCAGGGGCTGGGATCTGTGCCCATCAGGGGTGGGATCTGTGCCCCATCAGGGGTGGGATCTGTGTCCATCAGGGGCTGGGATCTGTGCCCCATCAGGGGTAAGATCTGTGCCCATCAGGGGGGGGATCTGTGCCCATCAGGGCTGGGATCTGTGCCCCATCAGGGGTAAGATCTGTGCCCATCAGGGGTGGGATCTGTGTCCATCAGGGGCTGGGATCTGTGCCCCATCAGGGGTAAGATCTGTGCCCATCACGGACTGGGATCTGTGCCCATCAGGGCTGGGATCTGTGCCCATCAGGGGTGGGATCTGTGTCCATCAGAGGTGGGATCTGTGCCCATCAGGGGTGGGATCTGTGCCAAATCAGGGCTGGGATCTGTGCCCCATCAGGGCTGGGATCTGTGCCCATCAGGGGTGGGATCTGTGCCCCATCAGGAGTGGGATCTGTGCCCCATCAGGAGTGGGATCTGTGCCCATCAGGGCTGGGATCTGTGCCCATCAGGGGCTGGGGTGGCCAGGAAGGTGCACTGGGAGCAGGCAGTGCTGCTGCCCCAGTTTTGGGCACCCCAAAGGGACACCCAGAGAGTGCAGCCCCCCTGCCAGCTGTGAGAAGGAGCCAGGAGGATCAGAGGGAGCAGAGGGGCTTTCCAAGGGAGGTTCCCCACCAGGCTGCCCTCACTCACCTGGGCTTCTGCTTGAAACTGCACCTGCACCTCCTGCCTGCAAGGGGAGAGAAGCTCTCTGAGTGTGGTCCAAAGGGGAATGGTCTGAGGCCTTTCCCACCACGGGAACAGCCCCTGCTGCCCCACCTGCCAGCCCAGCACCCAGCACCTCCCCCTGACTTACTGAGGATGAGGAGAATGCCCACGGTGAACAGCACCACGGCGAACACCAGCCCCCCGATCCTCAGGCTCTGGTAATCTGGGAGGGGGACACACAGGGCTCGTTGCTGCTGGCTGCGGGGAAGGGACAGCTCTTTGCTGCCCTTGGCACCCCCAGGCTCAGCCGTGCTCACTCACCATAGTTAAAGGGATCCTCCTCCTCCTTCTCCTGGGTGGCCACTGGAAATGAGCAGACAAGGCGGGGTGTGAGCTGAGTGAGCCCCTGCCAGCTCCCCACAAAGTTCCCCAGCCCGTTCCTGAGGTGTGTGTGGCACCTACCGTCTGCCACGGCCGCTGGCACCAGCAGGGAGCACAGGAAGATGAGCGCTGCCTCCATGGCTGCTGCGAGAGAGGGGACAAGAGAGGGTGTCAGCACCAGAGAGCTCAGGAGGCCATGGGGACATGGCCAGGGGGCACGGGGGAGCTGCAGACAGCCCACGGCTGCCAGGGCCAGCCCGTGCCATGGGGAGAGCCAGGCTGCTCCTAGGAAACAGCCAGGGTGCCATGGCTGCGCCCAGCCCAGCAGGTCAGAGGCAGGGAGGGAAGGGCTTGAGCAGCCAGACAGATTTCTGTGAGGTTCTCTGATGTATTTTCCACCATCTCCACTTGGCATAAATCTCAGTGCAGTCTCATGTTTGCTCTGCAGGCGATGGGGCCAACACCCTGAAATCCCACCCTGGGCATCCCTGGCAGTGCTGTTCAAACCCTTCTGTAACACCCTGAAATCCCACCCTGGGCATCCCTGGCAGTGCTGTTCAAACCTTCCCGGAGCTCTGGCAACCTCGGGGCTGTGCCCATTCCCTGGGGAGCCTGGGCAGTGCCCAGCACCCTCTGGGGGAAGAACCTTTTCCTAATATTCAACCTAAACCTCCACAGAGACACGAATAATAAAGAAAAGAGGCTGGATTTACAGTTACCCTAGTTTGCTAAAACACTCAAGCCTAAATCCCGCTGTCTTTGGGGGAAGTTGGCATAACTTAACCAGTTTGCTGAATATTTCCAGCCTCCTAAACTGGGACAGACTCCACTCGCACTTGGGATTATTTTTTTTAATGTGTTTTTTGTTTCAATTAAAAACTTTCTCAAGAAGATTTAAGAGACACCACGGAAGAAGAGGCAAGAAGAACAATTTTCCTTTGCTCTTCCTGCGTCTGCTCTTAAAACTTCATTGGTTTTGAGCATCCCAGGGCTCCTCTCAGCACGGCGCGGCACAGCACCCGGCCATCAGCCCCCGACCCGGCCCCTGACGATGATTTGTCCCAATTAGCAGAGCAATTACACTCCCGCAATGAGGCCAGCGGCCCTGGTGGGACTGAGCTCAAAGACACTCTTGCCCTCCGGGCTCCCTGCAGCAGCGAGGAGAGGCCATAAATAACCTCGGCGTCCCCTCCCACGGGAGCCTGGCCCTGTCCCGTCACTGGGGACCCCCGGCCGGAGCACGGACCTCTCTCCCCGGCTGTGAGGACGCTGTGGCTGGGCTGGGACACTCCGTGCCAGCTCGGGCAGGGGGACACGTCCCACAGCTGCATTTGGGATGGGAGCCACCCGGCAGCGCTGCTCTGCCCAGGGAGGGCATCGCCACCCACAGCCCGCTGCCAGCATCCCTCCTCCCGGGCCTGGGAACAGCCAGGGGACAGGGGGGAGCTGCTCCCCGTCCTGCCCGCTGGCACGGGGCACTGCCCACCCGGTTCTGTGCGGGGACACCCGGTGCCAGCAGGAGAGGCGGACGCGGCCCCTCGGGGCGGGGTGGCGGCAGGCTGGCCGCTGCCCCCGTGTCCCCGGGGCTCTGCCTGCTGCTGGCAGCGGTGCCAGGCGCTCACCCCGTGCCCCAGCGCCGGGCTGGCTGCCCATACATGGTCCGGAGGGCTCATCGCTGCCTCGGGAGCGCAGGGCAGGTTATCGGGAGCCCCGGGAGCGCCGAGTGCTACAGAGCTGCTGCAGCTGCTGCGCTGGATTAGTGCCGATAAGGAGGGGGCCCTGGACACAGCAGGAATTCAGCTCGCCGACGATGCAGAGCCCGGCACAGAGCTGCTCTTCAGCCCCCGCAGAGCCTGACCTGATTCCGCTGCGACCCGAGCCCAGCCCAGCCCCGCTGCCCCCGGCTCCCCCAGAGCCTGCCGCTCCCCTTCCCGCAGCTTGAGCCGCAGGACTGGCACGGAGCAGGCTCAGCAATGCCCACCAGAGCCGGCCCCAGCAGCTCCCACTGCACCCACAGGGGCAGCGCCGGCCCCAGCGACCCTCCCGGAGCCCGCCGTGCTCCTCACAGCCCGCGGCATCCCAGGGTCGCTCCCATCCCATCCCTCCCTCCCTCCCCTGCCACGGTTTGCCATTCCCAAGGCGAAGTGTTTACCCGAACACTGGAGGGTTTTATCCTCCTCTGCTGCAGCTGCTGGGCCATTGTGCAGCACGGGGCTGCACGGGAGCGCTCCCAGACAAACCCCCTCGTTTGCTGAGATGCACATTTTGGGTAATTACCAGGTCTTAGAAACACACACAAAGAAGCCACAGCTGGTGACACAGTCACTTCGAGCTGCACATGTCCTTTCTTTCACGTTGGAAGCTGCAAAATCAGTCATTTTACCCCTCGGAGGGCTCTGTGTGTGCACAGGGGCTGTGACCCAGCTCACGGTCTGGTGCTGTGATCGATATTAATTGGCAATGTTAATTGGCTCCCATATTCCTCAAACAAATCATTCATCAGATTTTTACTGTTTTGCTGCTATTTGCCTGCTGCTGGATCACTCCCTGAAGAACACACTCCGGGAATTTTGCGTTATTTCCTGCCCTGAGCCCCTCCACGTGGCACTGGGCCCTGCCCAGCCCCTCACACCCCCTTGCTCAGCGTTTGGCTTCTCGCACGTAGCGCGGCGGAGTTCGCTGCTGGGCCGAGCCAAGCTCGCAGCACACATATGCTCTTTGTTTTTCCATCTCAGTTCCTAGAATTCACACACTTATCTCTGCACGAGTGAACCGCCAGGGCTGGCAGTGTCCCTGCTCCGAAGGCAAACACGGCGCTCCGCCGCGCAGACGAGCGCAGCTCTCCTCCAAGGGAGCATATGCCTTGCAAAGAGCCACAGGTTTTTTGGGTTGCTCCAAGCTGGCCCACCCACTTCTTCCTGAAGCTGAAATAAAGTGAGAAGAGCGAGCACTGCCGCGGGTTTGCCGCTCTCCCCGCTCCTGCCTTCCCTCCTGCTGACTCCAGCTGCGCCTTGGCACAGGAAAGGAGAGGAAAACAGCAGCTGCCACGTCCCACGGCCCAGATCTTTCCTTGTTTTCTCCCCATTGGTGACACAAAGTTTGGAGTCACCACGGGCAGTGCAATGCCTGTGACTCAACCAAAACATGGGGGTTTCCTGTTAAAACTGCGAGATCCGGTGGAACACGGAGAGAGGCGGGGCAGCAGCAGCAGCGTCCAGGACTCGCCTTCCCTCCCATCCCAGCTCAACCTGCTGCTTTCTGAGGGATACCAGACCTCTTCCCACCATCCCTACCCCCACAGCAGAGCCGGTGGTTGGAGGAGGCAGCAGGGATTTGTGAGAGGCTCAGGGGGCAGGAAGCAGCCACACCGAGCGAGGAAGCACGCGGAGTTTTTGCTGTTCTCTGGGAGGATGCGGATGAGAGTGGGCTGGGGGATTAACCCAGCCAGGGCTGGAGCTGCCCCACGGTGAGGGTCAGTTCTCGCTGCCCAGAGCAGCCGGCGGTGACACCCACAAGGCCGGGTGACGGGCAGGGTGCCAGCCTGGCAGCAGGAGCTGGGAGCCACCCACACCCACGGATGATTCACGGCCCTGCCGCCGCCCTGCCACGCGCACAGCCAGCACTCCCCCCGTGCCGAGCCCAGCCACGGCTCCTCCTCAGCCTCTTCCTCCTGGATGATCCCTCCTTGCCCATTCCCACCCTCTTGGTGTGTGTGTGCGTGCATGGAGCCCGGGTGAGGGAGAGGAGCAGGCAAATCCGGGCAGGCAGACCCAGTCCCTCCTGCCTGGCTCAGCAAACCCTGCCAGAGCAAGGCAGGTGAATCTGTAGCGCCGCTGGATCTCCAAGTCCCCTTTTCCTTTCCATTGTTTTGCATTGCTCTGCCCTGTCAGGTCTCAGCCATCACAGCGCAATTCCGGGCAGCCTTCGCCTTCCGTCAGGAGTCCTCGGGGCATCTCCCGAAGATCAGACCTAGTTAAAATCTCTGGTTTCTTTGCAAAGCCCCCCAGACCGTGACAGCAGCGCTCCGCTGCCCGGGGCGTTTGAGAGCGTGCATGTGTGAATGGACATTTCCAGCTCTGCATAGATGTGCTCTTCTGCCATTTCACGTCAGCATCAATCTGGCTATTAATGTGCCTGTTGTTGTGCCTCGTGCTTCTAAATGAGAGAGGAGAGATTTCCAGCCCTCGCCATTCTGGTCTGGATGGCCCTTCCCAAATCCGGTGCTGATTCAGAGGCTGGCTGGATGGGAGACACGCTTTGCTGCAGTCTCATCGTCTCTTCTGCTGGCTTGGGGAGTCTCTGAGTGCACCATCCCTCACCTGTGCCCAAGAACTCCCCTTGCCTCCTGCAGGGCTTCTTCCAGCCTCATGGAACTGACCCTAGACAATTGAGGAGCCTCAGCCAAGACTGCCTGGCCATGTGTGGCTCAGCACATTCTCCAGCCCCTGGTGACACCCCAGTGAGGCAGCGAGGCCAGTCCTTCAGTGGGGCAAACCTCCAGAGCAAACCCTGCCTGGCCAGGGAACCCAGCCTGGGCTCCAGCAGGTACAAAACATCACCTCGGACAGGAGTCTGCTGCTCCTGAGCCATCCTTGTTTGATTAACAGATAACCAAGGGCTGTAAACCCGACTGTGCACCTGCCTGGACCCACCACGCTCTCGTTTGGCCACACAGCAGCTGAATGAGCCCGGCTCTGCAGGGGCATCACACACGAGAATCCCACAGGTGAGGCAAAGGAGGGGTTCCTGGAGGATCCTGGTGGTGAGAGTGCCCCAGACCACCCGGACACCCTGGCAGAGCAGCGTGCAAGGAGCTGTTTGAGGCTCCTGAGCGTGCTGGGCTGCACAGCAGAGCCTGCTCTGCAGCACATCAGAGCGGACATTTTCTCCCTCCTCTCCTCTGCTGTCACCATCAGCCACGACCACCGCGAGCACGGGGCAGGCAGCAGCGCCCAGCAGCACGGCTGCTGTCCCCAACACAGTGATGGCAGCTGGCACAGCCCTGAGAAGTCCAGGACAGGACAGGACAGGACAGGACACCTCCACGCTGCCAGTGCCAACGGTGCCCTCTCCATGCTCGGGGACACAACAGCTGCAGAGCTCAGCAGCCCTGTTACACCTTGCAAACACACAGACATCCTGCAAGGCAAACACGGGGGAGAGGCTGGACACAGAGCTGCTGCTTTGCTGTGCCAGGGAGTGCCCTCCACACCCAGCACAGCCGTGGCTCCCCACCGCGTTTTACCTGAATGAGAAGGTTGAGACAAAGCAGATAAAATTTCCAGGTGAGCGCGAGCCACGAGGCTGATGGGAGGAAGGTGTAGGCTCACAGGATATCCTCCAGCAGGTTCCAAACATGCTCTAACAGGTGGCCTGCCTTGGCAGCCATGGCACTTCATGCTGGCAGCTCTCCACTTCACTCCACCCAGGAACCACGGTCCAGTTGTGCATGAGCAGGGATTCTCTGGGTTTGTCTTTGTTTCAAGCTGGGAGCAAAACCACCCAGCAGGACTGAAAATCCCCACCAGCATCTTGGAGAGCTGCGGGCTTGCCAAAATGGGTGCTCCCTTCTAATCCACACACGGCTTTCCCCGAGAGGCTGCTCCTTCACGCTGCTTGTTCACATCCACACAAACCACCTGTCACTTCCCCTCCCACAGAAACATCCCTGCAAGATCCAAGTTCCACCACATGGACTCCAAAACCCGCTTCTTTGGAAGCATTAATTCCACACCCTGAGAGAGAGACACGCTCTTCCCTTCCTCCGTACGCCTTGAGGATGAGGCGCTCGCCTGTTGACGCGCGGTGTTACTACAACATTGCACAACAGGAGCCCGAGCGCTGCCAAGGGCTGCGAGAGCGGGATCCCCCCGGTTCCCTGGGATCCCCCCGGCTCCCCCGGATCCCCCCGGCTCCCCGGGATCCCCCCGCTCCGCACAGCCCTGCCAGCCTGCCGAGCACCGCCCGTGCTCTCCCCGCGGGGGTCTCGGGTGGGGTCCGCCGGGGCATACTCCCCAGCGCGGGGGGCTGGTAACCAGGCAACGGCGGGATGAGGGAAACCGCGGTCCCCTGCGTTGCCATGGCAGCCGCCGGGCCCGGGATGCGGGCGGGCCGGGGCGAGGGGCGATGCCCCGGGGCAGCGGGGCGGGGTCGCGGCCGCCTCGCCGAGGGGAGCGGGCTGGGGGCTCGGTCCCGCACCCCGCTACCGAGACACGCACCCCCTGTGTGCGGGGCACCCCGAGCCGCGCACTGCCGGGCGCACCGCGACCCCCCGAGCCCCCCGTTCCCTCCCCACCCCGAGCCCCCCGGGCGGCCGGACCCACCTGAGCGGGCCGGGCGGAGCCGGGCAGAGCCGGGCTGGCCCGGGGCGCGGCCAGCACGGCCCGGCCCCCGGCGGCTCGCAGATCCCCCCAGAGGAAGGCACGGGATGCTCAGGGGCATGGAGAGACTCTGCGCTGGGCACCGCCGGGGGTGTCCAGCCTGCGGAAGAGGAGCTTTAGGGAGAGCTCAGAGCCCCTTCCAGCGCCTGAAGGGGCTCCAGGAAAGCTGGAGACAAGGGATGGGTTGGAGAGACAAGGGGGAACGGCTTCCACTGCCAGAGGAGAGGCTTAAATGGGATATGGAATGAAATTCTTCCCTGTGTGGGAGGTGCGGCTCTGGCACAGCGTGCCCAGAGGAGCTGTGGCTGCCCCGTCCCTGGAATCATCCAAGGCCAAGCTGGATGGGGCTTGGAGCAATCTGGAATAGTGGGGGCTGTGTCAGGGATTTGGAGCTTGATGGCCTTGAGGATCCCTTCCATTCAGAGGTGCTACAGAAGTCACGGTGCCTGCAGGGTGCAGGTGTGGAGGGGGAACGCTCACCTGGCTGTGAAAATCCCTTCCCACAGCTCTGCAGCCTGGACTCTGCCCCGAGCTCTGCTCCAGGCGTGGGGGGAGCCAGGGGCAGACTGGGAGCTCAGAAAACACACACAGATTAATTACAAACACAGCACAGAGGCCTCCTGAGAGCTGGGAAGGGGCTGCCAGGCTGCCAGGCCAGGTGCCCAGCTCACAGGGCTTCAGTCACGTCACTCAGCCCGTCTCAGGTCAGGATGGGCAGCAGGGCCACTTTTCCAGCCTGGCCTGGCTCAGTTTCAGGCACACCCAGGACATGGTGCCTGCATTGCCTGCCCTGAACCCAGCAGCATCTGGCAGCTGCAGAAAACCAGCGCTGGAGTGGCCCAGGGCAGGTCAGGAGGCAGGGCACGCTTCAGCCAGCCAGGGAGAAACGCTGTGTGGCAGAAGGGCTGCCCAGACAGCCCTGTGCAAAGCTCTGAGGGCCCTGCCACAGAGCTTTGTGGCAGGTGTTCCCATCACACAGCCAGGCAAGATGGGCAGGGAGATCCTTGTTCAGGGTGCCAGATGGGAACAGGGTGCTGGGGGCACTGCCAGGCAGCAGCTGAGAGCCACGGGCACCACCCCGTCCCAGGCCAGACTGGCACACCTCTGTCTGCCTGCTGCTGGCCTGGAGAGCCATTTCTTCTTGGAAAAACACCTCAGCAATGCTGTCAGCACGGAGCTGGCTCATCCCTGCTCACTCCAAGGCAGCTGAGATAGGGATCAGGCAGTGACGGCACCGCTGCACAGCCATCTCCCCGCTTCCAGTAAAACATAAAGGGAAAATGGAGCAGCACTGGCATTTCAAGGCAATTATTCAGAGGGTCAAGAGATACAGACCAGCACTGAGGAGCTGGAAAGCATCAAGTCCCTCTAATGCATAGGGATAACAGGATAAGGCTGTCAGTTACCCTGCACAGAGGGAGGCAGGGATCAAGGCGTTGTAATCAAGTTTTGGGCTTCTCTGACCTTATCTGCCTCTGGGCTGTCATTATCCACAGCACACAGTAAAACGTGCAGGCGTCACCGTGCCCTGGGGGCTGCACCAGCACGGTGGGGTCTGCAGAGCCCTGAGCACACATGTCCCCTGCAGCAGCAGCCAGGACACAGCTGGATGGTGCTGGGTGTGCTCCGTGCTTTCCTTCCCTTGGTTCTTTATTTACAAATTCCCAAGGAGCTGCCCAAAGTGAATAGAATAAAAAACAAAAAAAAATCAGCATCATTTTTTTTTGCTGTACAAACTCAGGTAGAATAGAGATCCCAATGTGAATGTGGAGAGGGAAGAGGACAAGCAGCTCCAGCAGTCGCTCATGGTGAGCATCTCCTCCTCAGTGCTGGGCTGCTGGAGAGGCTGTGCCGAGCTCCAGCTTCTCTTCTGGAGAAACTGGGCCAAAAGTAAAGCAGAGGCCAGGCAGGAGATGCTGATTTATGTTAACAAGGGGGCTGGGCTGGCCTGCTCAGCTGTCTGAGAGAAAGGAGCACAGCCCCCGGCTCCAGCAGGGCACGACTTCATCCCAGCCTGAGCCCCTTACCCTGGAGCAGGCATCTCGTCCCCGTGGGCCTGGGGCCGGGACAGAGCCACCTGCTCTCCAGAACCTTCCCCTCCAATTTTGAGCTCTCTCCCTGTAAAGCCAGTCCCTGAAATTGCCTGCTCAGTGGCAATGCAGCCCTTGGTGCCATCAGGGACACGGCGCAGCGGAGCAGTGACAAGGCTGTGTGCAGCCATGATGCCGTGTTCACCCCAATAACACCATTTTCCAGCAGCCCAGCCGTTCCTGGTGCCCTGGATCCCTGCAGGAGCAGGGGCTGAGCGCTGCCTGCTCCCGCGCTGCCCCGCCGAGCGCAGCTCCAGCTGAACTCCACCCGTGCCAAGCGGTGATGTTACCGACCGTGGAAAGGAACCAATCCCCAACTAGAGGAAAAGCATTTTTGCAGGGAAACATCATCGCTGAAACCCTATAAACAAATCTGTTTTGACACAGCAGAACAAAGAGCTATAAAAGGAGAGATCGGGAAAACCGCGGCTAATGGGCGGTAATTCACGTGGTGCCTGCCAGGCTGTATTTTTGTAATTTGGGTCCCTTTGGGATGCTGGCCTACGATTTCCAGGGCTCAGAGGAGCTTGGGAACAGATGTGGGGCGATGCTGAGCACCCCTTGTCTCAAGGGATGCCCTGGAGCAGGACGTTGAGCAAGAAAAGGGCTTTGCAAGAGCCACGGGTGATGCCTGGGCTGTCCCAGGAGCTCCTCGGGGCTGGGCTGGCACCCACCACAGCTCTGCTCCCCCAGGAGTGGAGGCAAGGCGGTGTCCAAGGCTCTGCTCCATCTGCACGGCGTTCGGGAACAGCACGGCGGCCGTGGCCAGGCTTCACGGGGAAATAATCACTCCTAATCTGCTTAGGAGACTCCATCCCTTGGGAAAGCACAGCTTACCTGCCTGTGGGCCTGCGGGGACACGCTGCTGGACGGCAGGTTTAGAAGAAATAAATTAAATTGGTGTTAGGGGCTGAAAGCGTTTCTCTGCTGTGAGAGACTTTCAGAAGAGCAGTAACCCCTGAGGAGGAGAAACCCACAGCAGAGGAGGAAGTCCCACACGTGCTGAAATGTTTCCATTACTGCTCCCAGGAACGCAGCTCCAGCAAGATCAGCTCTTACTGGGCTCCAGTTTTTGGGTTATTCCTTCTCAAAAGATCAGTTTCTCCAGTAATGAACCACCAGGAGCTGCTGTGACTTATCCACAGAAACCCCCAGAGCCCCTCTGGACAGACCCAGGCTGGGGCTGTGACTGAAAGCCTGCTGAATTCCCACTTTAACCAGACCAAAACAGAACAGGGAAGTCGGGGCCCCGTCTCTAACTCAAGATCAGCTGCTTCTGTTTATGGAAAACTGTTTCCCTGCACAGCGAGGGCAGGCACTGCAGCAATTTCGGGGAGGAGCAGAGCCCCCCGTCCTGCTGGAGCCCAGCAGGGCTGCCCAGGCCCTTGTCCAGGTGATGAAGAGGGGGCAGTGCCCTGCCCTGCACGCTCTGTTCTTCACGGGCTCCTGCACCCTGGGAGGTTCCTGGGCTGCTCTGAAAAGGGATCTGAGGTCAGGCTGACTTGGCTCTTCCCAAAAGGCACCGAGTCCCTCCCTTTGTTTCAGTTCAGGCCCGGGCAGCCACCCAGCAGTGTCCAAATCCCCGGAGGTGAAGCAAGGCCAGGAACTCCCCCAGCCCTTCCAGCAGCGGGCAGGTGCAGCCCCAGCCCAGGGAGAGGCAGGTGCTTTCTGCACCCAAAATCCCAATACAGACCACAGCTGCCTTCTCCAGGGGAAGTGCTGGGAGCCAGGGGATGTTCCCAGGACCTGAGCAATGAAAACATCCCTTTTCTCCTGCCACCAGCAGCACCCCTGAGGGTGACGGGCAGGAAGGGCTGCTCCACCACAACCCCACTGCCCGCTCCCCAGGGATCCTTGGCACGCTGCCGCTTCCCTCCCAGCCCATCCCAAGGAGCCATCTCCACGTGGGACACTACCAAAACATTTATTAGAAGAGTGCAGGGTGGCCAGGCTCCACAGGACCCCCCCCTGCAGCTGACCACAGGGCAGGGGAGGGGAGCAGGCAGGCTCTGCTCAGCCTGGGGATCTCCTTGTGTGCCCCAGCGTCCACCAGGAGGTGAAGGCACTCGTGCCCTCGAGGGAAATGTCCCTGCTGGGGGGACATTTCGAGGGAAATGTCCCTGTGGGTGTGGGCAGGGCGGACAGGCTGCAGGCAGGAGGGAGCATGGAGATCCAGGGCTGCTCCCTCCGGGCACTGCCCACGAGGGTGATTGCCCTGAACCACGCTCCAGCGTGGCCTTTGGCAGCCGCTGCTCCTGTCACAGCTCCCAGAGCCACCCCCAGGGCTCAGAGCGCCCCAGGGGCTGCCAAACCCTGCCCGGTGTGGCTGCGGTCCTGGGAGGGAGCGCCGGCACGGAAAAATAAACAACCCAGCGTTTCTCTGGCAGGCAGGGCAAGGCACTTCCTAAATCCCTCGGCAAACACGAGAGCAGCGGCCGCCGCTCCCGGCGGGAGGAATATCCACAGCTCGGGGCTGCCCCTGGCAGCAGAGCCGCCAGCGGAGCCCGCGGGTGTGCCAGGGTGGACACAGCTGCCACATCCTCCACCCTAAGGTGACACAGCCCGGCTAAAGGAGAGAGCTCCCTCTCCACGGGCACTGCTGGCAGCCCCTCGCCCGCCGAGTGTGCCAGGAAGCACTCACACAGCCCGTCCAGACAGGTCTATTCACAGGAGAGCCACACACAGGGGGCAGGGAGGCGTCCCCAGCCAGCACGGCCAGCTGCTGGCATGGGCTGTGTGCCCCGGGGCCTGGCTGGGTGCTGTGCCCAGCCACCACCATGCCACCCCTGGCGCCAGGCCAGGGCACTTTGCAGGGGCTGGTTCCAGAGCTCGGG